AAAATAGACAATATTTACTAGCGATGAGCTTGAACGAGTACATTTTTAATAGAATTATATTAAAAAAATAGAGAAAAGTTTTATAAAGAGAACACGATCCCCCGAAATTCTCGATCCATGATTTGGAAGAATGGGGTGGAAAAGAAGAAAAGTGTTACCTTGGGAAGGGCAATTAGGTGGAAAATGAGTGCTTTGGAAGCTTTCTATGATAATTATAATTTCATTACCAAACTTAAACTCTATATTTATTTATTTTATGTCTTTGAATTTAGGCTCTTTGAGTAAATTATTTAATGTAATTAAAGTGGTGTAAATAAGGAGAATCGGAGATCATGTGCAGCACCACGTGCTTGCAACAAAATTAAGATTAAAGCAATTACCGTTCCAACCAAAGTTTTCTTCACTAAAAATTCATCGTATCTAAATACATTTCAAATTATAATACTTATTTATTTATGTCTAAATGAATTATTGTGTTTTAATTGTAAACATTTATTTGATTTATTAAGTTGGATTAATATTTTCGAGAATAATTATGGTCTTTATGTAATTGAATGCCTCTTAATTGATGGGATTAAAGATACATTTTAATAATCTAATGCTCTTCATTGACTTAAAAATATAATTTAATTAGTTATTTATAAGGATTAACATGGAATTATTCTGGATTGATTTTTTAATCCTAATTAAATTAAATAAATTTTCCTCGTTGAAAAAAAAAACCTATGTGAGATATTTTATGTATTAAAAAAGTATTCTATTAGGGGTGGGACCCAGGGTGGAAAGGCAAGGCTTTTTCTACCGAGAATTAGTTATGAAGCAAAGTTGACCAAACTATCCACGTGGCAGTTGTTTATTGCTCACGTTTCTCCCACTCCTCTTCTGAGGCGATTATAATATATATATATATATATATATATATTAAAAAAATATAATGTTTTATTTGTACTAAAAAAAGGTTATTTGGTAACGTAGGAAAAATCCATGACCTTTCATCATTGAACTTTGAAGCCTGCACTAGCCTATGCCCATGTGCCCATTCTTTTATATAAATAATTTCGAAAATAATCTTAAATTATAAATTTAGTTTTATAAATCAAATTCTCCTACCTCAAATAATTGAAAATTTGATCATTCTCGTACAAACTTTCAACTTTATCCCTATAGTTTTCGCTTGAACTCGTCTTAATTTGATACCTAAGTTTTAAGAACCCGTGAGCAAGAAAATGAGAGCATATATATGAAGAATGCAAAACTAAGATACACAAAACCTCTCCAAAATCTTGAATGGACTCGAACATCATTTACGATACAACTGTATAAATGAATTTCGATATCTAATTTTGAGAAAAAACAGAACGAACGAGTAAGCTCATGCTTGCTCTTAAATGGACATGAGATATCTAAAGATTAAAAGAACGAATCAAAGTCGAAGAATAAATCAGAGCATCAAGCCCTAACATCTTATGCACATCTCATAATCTGAAGCAGATGATGCAATAGTATAGTTATGGAGCTTACTGTGTCACACTTAATTTGATGTCATGAGTGTAGTTATCCCCCACCGCTGATTGGGCTGCTGATTCCCAAGTCGCCAACCAAAATGGGTCACAAATTCAGACCCCAACAAAGCCACAAGCTATTCATCAACTTCCTGGCCTTCGCTCTCATCTTCACCTTCATCTTCATCATCACTGCCAGTATTATCTTGATCTTTTTTGCGGTCACTCTTGTTTTCCTGCTTTTTCTCACTACCTACATTTCCAAAAGGGTTAATTGAAAATACATTTCCTTCATGAAGGTTGTTTAAGACTGAAGTCCGCAAAAACCAACAGAGCGAGGGAAAATAATCAGAGCGGTGCCAGAAGGGAAAAGATAATGAAGATGGGGGAGGATGCTAGGAGGGAGAGCCAAAAGTTTGTACGCCAAGAAGAGGAGAACGAGTTTCATATAGCTCGATTTGCGAACACTAAAAGCGGTAAGAAATTTTCAAGATTACATACCATATTCACTGAAGATGATCCCACCAGAACACAACCCCTCCTCTACTTTAATGAGCTGAAGAGTCAGCCTAGGTCCAATCTCTTGAAGCTTGACAGCACTCTTGGTGGAAGCTTGGTTGACTCTACCTAGATCACTGGCCAAAGTGACTGTCGCTGCTTCATCATCAGCTTCACTTTCTGACCCATAACCAGCCCTATCAAACAACAGACGAGAAAATTTGTAAGAAACAAATGAGGTCAAAGATTAGAAACATGAGATAGAAATAGAAGTTTAACATAACCCTTTCCATCCCTTCCCATAGTTGGATATCACATAGGGTATATACCAAAAGATTTATTGAAGGCCCTTCTTAAAATCAAATTAACCATAAGAAAATCTTTCATAGTTCTCCTTTTTTCATATTACCCAGTATATACTTTTACTTTTCTCAATAAAGCTTGCTTTTTATCACAAAAACATAGAACATTTAGGAAATTCAATGGCAAACACTAAAAGATGTAGAAAGAAAAGTGGGCTTGATAAAAACAATGAACAATAAACCTCAAGAAGGATACAAAGTGTCTAATAAGTAATATTATAGGATCTAAATCACCAACAAAAGGTGAAAAAAACATAAACACATAGCTTACTTTGTGACAAAGTCGCTCACATCTTGAAGACTCCTAAGGTCAGGAACTTGATGATTCTGAACAAACTTTCTAAGCCTACGGGTTACACCAACAGGTTGTAATCTGATTGAATAATGTCGAAAATCAATGAGCTTTGTGTCCTTGTTATAATTAAGCAACACAATTCTCTGGCATGATGCAAGCTTAACCTGATACATAAAAATTAAATTGATGTTGAGAAGGAAAGAGGAATCTCGTCAGTCTGAACTTTTAATTGAATAAAAATAAAACTCACTGTATTTATATCAATAGCTGGAAAGATGTTCTGGAACATTATAGTAGTGAGCTTTAGATGCTGATCTCCAGTCCCAAAACCAGAAAGCACAATCTGTCAATAACAAAGTCAGCTGAATGATTCACCTAGCTAATTGCATGAGCATAACGAATCAAATATGGCATCACGTTTCTTCAAAAATGCTCTTTTAGCTTTTATGCTTTGGAAAACATAGTACATTAACATTGCTCATGAAACAAAGCGAAGGGTGATGTGAGCGAAAGAAACTATCATAATTGTCGAAACTTTTCCCTTCGAATAGCTCATCAATCATCACACTTACATCCTAGAACCCCATACGCACAAATCTGCTATACCTTTAGAGAAGTGAGAACATGGACTCTGGGCATTTTAGAGTAACAAGTGCATACAAGGGAAGAAAGACTATTACCAAAGGGGGGTTCTTGAAAAGGTCTTTCGGACATCTGGGGCGCAATTGTGATTGAGCAATGTCCACTGCAAGCGAATACTCGTGTATCTTGAACGTAAGAGTTGGTCCCTGAGGGGTCCTAGCAACTCGCAAATATGGTGCACTTTCAGTTTTGGAGAGTATGAGAAAATGTGTAACACCCATAGGCCCAGCAACGTTCAAATAGTCTTTAAGATTATTCCGTTTCTTCTCCTGTAAAAGCAATACATACAAATACGAAAAACAAATGATTTTGCCATGGTATGTGAAAAGTTCTAGATATAAACTTATTTCAGCAATCAGCACAGAGCATCAAATCTAAACATCTAAAGGAAGTTTCTGTCACTATAAAGAATAAATAACAATAAATTTGTACCTTAAGATTAAGAGCAGTGTAAGGAAGCATCAATTTTCTCAAATCCATTTGCAGTTGCCTAAGAGGACCAGGCAACTTCCCTCTAGAGAAAACAAAACTTTTAGGGATTTTCTCCCCGGTAACATGATCCACATTAGTCTGCTTCTTCACCGTGATCGGCTTCACAAACCCCTTCTTCTTCTGCTTCAATAAATTACAAGAAGAAAAAATTAGTAAACACCAGAAGGTCGTTCAGTCTATTATTAATATCTCTATCTTCTACCCTCGACAAAAACGAGGTGGACGCAAGCAAACAGCGGTAGCATGAGCATGTGAAGGTGTTCTTACGTTTCCAATACGAGCCATTGCTTGCCAGAAGAAATGATACTTCTGAAAGCAGAAATTTCAGAAGCTTGATGATGGAGAACCTCCGCGCTCACCAAAATCAAATACACATGTCGGCAACCCTAATGAACAAAAATTAAACAGGAGCGAAATCGGTTGATCACTGAACCGAATAATGAAGGAAGACCGAACCGGTTTGGAATAAAATTGGTCCACTAACCGATCAGGTGAGAGACGAACGGCGAGCAGCAGAGCGTGGCGACGGCAATTCAAGATCAGCGGTGGGGACGGCGGCGACGAGAATAGAGAAGGTCAGAAGGACAGGCGGTGGCCGTATGAGTCGAGAAGGCGAAAGGGGAAGTGAGAAGAATAGTCGGAGAGAGGAGGGTTTAGGGTTTTGTGAAGAATATGAAAAATACAAAACGGAGTTTTTGGTTTCCAAATTTCAAAAAAAAAATGCCATTGCACAAGCCTTGTTCTTTTATTTATTTATTCAATCACTTCAGCCAAATACTCCTTCTTTAATACATTTAAAAATTAATTGATGTATTAAATATAAATTTAAAAATAATATCTAGTAAAATCCTACCTTTTGTATTCATAAACTTTTAAAATGGACTAAACTTTGAAAGCTCAATAATCAAATAGGCTTAACTATTATTATTATATAACTAATGGATCATATTATAATTACAAGAAACGGATTAAAAAGGTCAACAACATGAATATAACTTAACAATGATATGATTTATTTTCGTGAGATTGAAAATTCAAATTCTCATCTCTCACATTTATTAGGCTGAAAAAATTAAATTAACTAACTATGAGTAGTACACAATAATAGTGAACGGGATGAAACTAGAGGTCACTGGACCCAAATGGTTGATGCATTTCAATATTTGAATCGAGCCTAGCTGACCCATTAGACCTAAAGAAGTCACATTCTCATACACAGAGTTGTCTATACGAAGCTGACTTAAGAAGAATTCGAACCTTTTTTTTTTTGTTTCACAGCTCTGTCAAGACATACAAAAGAGTTAACTTCTTAATTTGAGAACATTTCAAGATAATTCGACAGTGGGATTCTGTTTTATTCCCTGTAGATGCATCAAAGGTAGTGTTATAGAGTTCATGACAGCGATAGATCTATCTACAAAAACATCAACAATCCAGATGCTGTAAACTGCAATTTAAGCACTTTCAAAACTGGGGAACCTTTACTTTGCAGTTCAAAATTTCAGGTCTCAGAGGCATACCAGCAGGTAGGAACCATCAACAGCATCAGGAGTATTCACAGTGTTCATCATTGCCTCTTTTCGATGATTGCTTCACCTTAGGGAATCGACCATTCCACATTCGTGCTTCTTACGTCGACATCTATGGTGTGATTTCTGATCTGTAAATGTGTTCTCTCCTACAATTTCTACTCTAGAATCTGCACAGGATGCAATCCCATCAATCATCTCTCAACTTAGATTGTGAATCAGGAAAAAAAAAAAGAAGGAACTGTATGTGCAAATCAGAAATTCAGAATTGAACGTTCAATCTTCCCATCAGCCGTTTTCGAGCAAAAGGAAGGCAGGAAATGCAGATTAAACAGGAGACAATCATTTAAGGCAGAAGACAGGTAAATGAACTTGCAAGTTCTACCAACAGCAAAGAGGCATTTATTGAGCAGACAGCTGCATTTTCTATGATAAATTATGTTTCTCATCTTCAATGAAATCTACTCTAGGACATAAATTACCTAAAACTGTCAAAACCCAAAAGCATAGATGAAAAGTTAACAATGATGTAAATGCCTAAATGAGATTATGTTCATCTCCAAGACAGGTATGAGGAGTCATGAATCATGAATATAACAAAAATACTACGTCCATAAATCATCTTATCTCTTAACACCTTAATTCGACTGCGGAGTTGGTCCGAAACAGTTGTTTTCGAGGGCATCTGATCTTTAGTACAAAGAACACAGAATGATTTTGTTATTTTCTGCGATTTTTTTCAACAAATCCGCCAAAGAAACCTAAATAAGAACCCATGTTAATGTCATCCGAGAAAGAACCTCCATTAACTATTTTCTTGTGAGATCCTATATCGGTTGGGGGGGAGAACGAAACATTTTTATAAGGATGTGGAAACCTCTCTCTAGCATACGCGTTTTAAAAACTTTGAGGGTAATCCTGAAAGCGAAATCTCAAAGAGGACAATATCTACTAACGGTGGGTTTGGACGGTTACAAATGGTATAATAACCAAACACCGGACGATGTGCCAGCGAGGAGGCTAAGCTCTAAAGGGGGTGGACATGAGTCAGTGTGCCAATAAAGATGTTGGGCCTCGAAGGAGGGTAAATTGGGGAGTCCCACATCGATTGAAGAAGAGAACAAGTGTTAGCGCGCCCCCTGGGTGGATTGTGGGACTAAGAATGAATATAGTTTCCAGATCATATAATGCTAAACGTCAAATCAAATGTTCATAAACCTACTCAATTCAGATGTAGATTATGCTCTCCACAAAATACATGGACAAGTTTTACAATCTAGAAGCCAGGTGACATGAATCTTAACCATCAAGGTGTCTATAATTACTTCGATCGTTAACTTATCCACAAAAAAAAACGTTTCAAACAATACTAAACTTGTAGCTTAACCCATCAATCTGATAAATATTGTGATCTTTTGAGATGAGAATAAGAGGAAGAGGAAGAAAACGAACCTCCTAGTCGTTCACCCCACAGCAGCAATCTGGCATCCTCATCCTCCTCGTCGATCTCATCACCATACCCGAATTCACCATCTCCACGATAACCAGGCTCGCTACCATAGCCAGACTCGTTCCCCTGAGCATCAAAACCCCCATTAGAAGAACCAAACCCAGAACCCAATTGATCCTTCTCCTCTCTCTCCCTCCTCCTCGAATTCTTCGCTTCACTCACATCCGACGACCAATTCGCATCCCCATTCACAAACAACTCACCGCTCGAATCCGTGCCAACTGCCATAGGAAAGTCCGAGCAGGTTCCATGAGCAGCCGAAGCCCCAACAGAGCAGCATCGTCTCGTCCCGCTTCGATCAGTACTCCGCCCGGAAACCGACCTCGATCCACGCCGCCGCCGCCGCCGCTTCCTAGCTATCAATTGGAAGCTCGGACGCGAGTAACTGCCTCCTGCCGTAATAGAAGGCTTGTCGTCGTCAATCAAACTCAGGCCCGACATGTCAATAGCGTCGACATTGAAAGAGGTAGTTCGATCGGAGAGACAAGGGCGCTTGGTGTGCAGGCCACTGGATGAGTAGTAGGGTTTAGCGCTTGTGGGAGCGGAAGTATGGGCATCGGAATCTAGGGCTTTGGGCAGCTGGAAGGGCCTCCAACCATGGAGCTTGAGAGTACAGGAGTGAATCGATTCGCGGGAATCTAGGGCTCTGCGAGACATGAGGGGAAGAACGGAGAAGATGAATGGGAGTTGCAGAAGGGATGGAGATGAAGAAGAAAATGGGGTTTGAGGCTTCGAGGCTTTGAGGAGGAGAATGATCGAGAATTCTGTGGAAGCTCTGTGGGCGCGAGGCTGTATTTATGGACGGGGGAGAATCTACGGCTGCTCCTCTGCTTGTTTTCTAAGAATCTACATTGAAATCTTCACATTTGCAAATCCCACCATTTTTACTTGTTTTTTTTCTTTTAATATTTTTTCAGAAAAACAAAAAATTTCTCAGACCTTTAAAAAAAAAAAAAAAAAAAAAAAAAAAA